TGCAGGCACTGCAGCAGATGCTGGACAAGAAGTTGTAAATCAACTTCCATCCAAAAAGGTGGCAGTCTGCCATTGTCTGAGAAAAATGCAGGCACTGCAGCAGATGCTGCACAAGAAGTTGTAAATCAATCCTCCATCCAAAAAAGATGGCAGTCTGCTTTTGTCCAATAAAAATGCAGGCACTGCAGCAGATGCTGCACAAGAAGTTGTAAATCAACCACCATCCCAAAAAGATGGCAATCTGCCATTGTCTGATAAAAATGCAGGCACTACAACAGATACTGCACAAGAAGTTGTAAATCAACCACCATCCCAAAAAGATGGCAATCTGCCATTGTCTGATAAAAATGCAGGCACTACAACAGATGCTGCACAAGTTGTAAATCAACCTCCATCCCAAAAAGATGGCAATCTGCCATTGTCTGATAAAAATGCAGGCACTACAACAGATGCTGCACAAGAAGTTGTAAATCAACCTCCATCCAAAAAAGACGGCGGTCTGCCATTGTCTGATAAAAATGCAGGCACTACAACAGATGCTGCACAAGAAGTTGTAAATCAACCTCCATCCAAAAAAGACGGCGGTCTGCCATTGTCTGATATCGACATACTTCTTAATCAAGTAACAACAGAAGAGGATAACCAAAAAGGTAATGTAATCATCAATCTATTTAGTTATTTAATTTTTCAAGTACTAGTATTTCCTTAATAGTACTTTGAGTAGTACTCGTGACAAAACACACAGACATATCTCCATCTATCACTTATGCAGGTATTGCTGAGCAGCTCAAAGAAGTTCCACGAGACTCTACAGATGAGCCTGCACCAACTCGACAGGCTGTACATGAGACAGGGATAACTAAATCTAAAGGTGAGGCTGTGGATCAATCTTTTTGCTGTTGATGATTGAAGAAGTGCAGTTTTATGTAGTGACGTCATATTTGTTTCACACATACAGCTCACAATATTGACAATATATCATTTGATTGCCAAGTTGCAAAACTCTCCCTCCTCACAAACCGAAAGAAGGTACACTGTAAAAAAAATCGTTAAAAAACGGGGATTTTTTCCCTGTGAAAAAACATTTGTTCCCATAAGTCCGTATTTTAGCAGTTCCTTTGGTGAAATTACAGAATCGCTAAGTATTTATACTGCCAACCAACCGTATTTTTGCTGTAAACGTGAGCTGCACAAAAAATGATGTCAAATTACAGGACATTCGTTTCAATTAACAACCGTGTTGTGTTTTTATAACTTCTTGTCGCGTTTTTACTACTTTTTCTGTTTGGTTTGTATCGACTCTTGTGAAATAACAGGCATGACAGGACATGTTCCTGTAAAACTACATTTGTTCTTATATTAACAGCTTAAGTCCTTATATTAACAGTTCGATCGGTAAAATCACTAGAATCAGGGTGATGTAACATGTAAATGATGTAAATATACAGGACATTCCTGATCCTTTCCGTAGTCGATGTCTTTTTACAAGTTTTTCTGTTTTCCAGTAACTGTCTCTGTCGGAGATATTATTTTCTATCTTGTTTCGGGTTTGGTTCTTTATATTAAAATCTATAGTTTTAGAAAGACTGTAAAAGTCTTAGGTGTTCAGGGTTTTATTTCGATTTTATATTATGTAATATTAATTTTAAGTTCCTTCATTAGTTGGAAGATCTGGGAAGTTTCGCGCTTCAGTCTGGTTTCAGCCTACAAGAAAAAAAAAACACTTGTAAGTTAGTGATAACGGTTGCACTGTCCCTGCCAGACTACTGGTAAAGACGGGCCGGCTGTACACACGCGACCCGCATTCATTGCCACCAGCTGCTGACAACCGGCGTTCTTCTTGTTGTACTTCACTTTCAAAATTTCTGTGACAAGGTTGGCCTTTTAATTCATTTTTTTAATTATTGGAATTTTATAACTTGGTGAGGTATTGTTACTTGTCAACTGAGCATATGGAGGACCCATGACGTTGTGTTTTTGCAAAGATTGATCATCAGATCATGGAAAACGACATGTCCGACCACCCTGTTTGCCACATTTGTAATGTACGCCTGCAGTGTAAAAAATTTAAAGGCATACACAAGACATTATCAAATTCACAGGCATGAGAGAAATATGCACTTTCCCTGCTGTGTCCCAGGATGTATGAAAACATGTTTTACTTACAAGGGGTTGGTGTCACATGTATCAAGACATCATGGAACAGGCATAGCTCATGGCAATGATGGAATTAGTGCCAGATATCAGAGTGTAGGTGTTAGTGTAAAATGCATGATGCAGTTTTGTCAACAGCAGTGTTCTGATATTCAAGAATTTTTGGCACACGTGAAGAATCACATCAAGGAAGGATTGACTGTAGCATGCCCACTTGGAAATTGTACAAAGCAATTCAATGTAAAGTCTTCCTTCTCTTCACACATATCTAGATATCACAGACATTATACAGTGCATTCACTAAC